TAGAGAGGATCTTGGCAGAAGCGAAAATGCGCTGATATTAGGGGTGTTCAAAAGAACCGGTTGGAATCGAAACCGGCGGGTACCCGGGGTTTGGTTCCGGTTTCTATCCAGAACTGACCGTCAACGGGTAGGTTCTGATTCCAAATTTTTGGAATCGTTATTGTGCGGTTTCGGTTCCAAATTTTTGAAACCGTTACTGTGCGGTTCCGGTTCCGGTTCCTATAGTTAGGAACTGGAACCAGAATCAGGAACCAAGAACCAAGACTAATATAAAATAAAATTAAAGATTATGGGGGTTAATAAAATTTTTTGTAGAAAAAGTAATGTGAATACATTTATATTTATATTTCATAACATTTAAAGTAAGTTGGTTTGACTTTTGAGAATCTACCTGCACAAAGTAACGGAGTTTGAAATTTTGAATTTATAATTTGTAATTTTATTTTTGTTAACAACTGCCAAGTGGGGGGTATTTATAAGTTTTTAAGGTTTTTTTTTTTTTTTTGCTATTTTAAAAACTTTTGGGGGGTCATTGTAATTTTACAGGGTACCCAGAATCGGAACCGAAACCGAAACCATTGCTATGGGTTCTGGTTTTGGGTACCTAGGAACCAGAACTATCAGTTCCGATTCTGGTTCCAAATTTCAAGGAACTGTCGGTTCCGGTTTCGATTCCTTCAAAAAATGCAGGATACCTGGAATCGAACACCCCTAGCTGATACCATGTCAGAGTTTAGGCTGGAAGGAAGGCAAGAGAGGCAGAATACTACAGAAGAATGCCAACAAAAAGAAAGCTTAACAAAAGTAGCAAAGAATAGCTTAAGAATGTCAAGAACAGAAAGAGAAGAGAATACTGTTATTGTATTACTTGTGTATTTGTAACGTGTACAACAACCAATTTATACTGTGGCTGTTGTTAGGGCCAAAAATCGTCTTGGGCTTGACGGGGCCTACTAACGAAATAAACATGTCACTGCCCAAGGTCTCAACCCAATCCCGATTGGGCCCACGCTTAAAATCACCTTGCGACCTACCCACTCTATGAGTTGGGCTATCCTATAAGTTAAACTAAACTGGGTTTCAGCCCATTAGCCTGCAACAGTCTATAAATAGGAAATCAGAATCCCATTCTATTTCCTCTTCTACTAAGATTTCAAATCTTACTCAAACTATTAAACTTGATCTGATAAGGTCAAGAAATCATATCTCTTTCATGATAGGGATTATCTCCCAAAATAGGACTTAGTGTCTTACTAAGATTCCAACTCTTATTTAAACTATTAAACTTAATCTGATAAGGTGAAGAAATCATATCTCTTTTATGATAGGGATTATCTCCCAAAAGAGGACTCAATGTCCTACTAGGATTCCAATCTCTTGGGTTCACTATAAAAACAGAGGCTCGCCCTCTCATTAGTGAAGAAAGCTCCCACAGTCAATCTACACGACTCAAAACCATCTATTTGCTCCTAAGTTCCTGCTCCCAAGAACCCGACGCCTCCGCCGTAGTCCTAGCCTTCGACAAGACTCCTGGTAATTCTTCTTCTCCTTAATTCTTATTACATCTCTTTCAGCCTTGCTGACTTGAGTGTCGGAGTGCCTACGGCAAACACCACCTCGGTGTTTTCCGGAAGCTTCACGCTTGCCCTTTCATGTGTGCAGGTCTAATGGATTGTCAGTGACCTCAACCTCACGGGATCACACCCTATTTTCATGACGGTAGATTTTTTGCATCTACAGCTGTGAGTATAATAAAGGAAATACAATAATACAATAATGGAAATACAATAAAGTCTTAACTACAAAATATTACAACATTTAACCAAATAAGCACTATATCAGTAATCACTTGATTCCAGCATGAATATCTTCAGCATTCCATATTTCATCATATTTGTGTGGTTTACGGAGGTGGATTTATTTATTTATTTATTTTTTATAATTTTGATTGTGTCATTGTTGATGGTGGTGGAATGAGTGAAAGTGGCTTACCAAGTTTGCTTGAAGTTGGCTTAGTTGTGCATTGATGCAAGTTTCTCTCACTGCTGGTATGTAGCTCACAGTCTCTTTCAACATTGTTGCTTGAAAAGTCTTTGATGAAATGCTTGAAAGATGGTTTTAGCAAAAAAATTTGCCAGTGTGTCTATTTAATCTTTAAGGTTTAATTCTCAAATAAGAAATGAAAATCTTGCCACATAAAAATGCAAATGCAGAAATGAAGAATTTGATGTGGGCTACAGCAGAACACTTGGGAAACCTGGGACTGAGTGAATTGTAGAAGAGTGTTGTTTTCATTGTGTAAATTCTCCAGATTTATGAGTAGGGTTACACGAGTTTGCTTTTCTAGGTTAAATATATGAGTTGTATATTGAATTGATTTTGTTAAATTTGTTGATTAAATTCAGATTTATTTTTTCAAATTTTATATATTTTCACAATTTTTGATTTGTGTAGATTGAACTTGTAGACGTAAAAATCTACCTGTACGAAAGGAGGGTCTGATCCCATGAGGATGAGCCGAGCTGAGTAGAGTATGTGTTGGGATGGTCGACTGGATGTAAGGTGGGATGATTAGATTGGGCTGGTCTTGTGGATGAGGGCTTTCTCCCATCGGGTCGTCTTGATCTTGATGCTCGGATGAATCGGCTGAATGATGTTCTACAGGCATATCTTTATCTCCATGGATCAGGACAGAATCGTCGACCGCAGACGGGTTTAGCAGACGCGACCTTTTGCAGGAGACCGAGGGTCGGTGCTCTAGCGTAAGGAGGGGTTGCATGGATGGAACAGGGGTGCGGAACCGATTGGGGGGTGCCTGGCCAGGCAGGAACTCTAGATCGTAGAATTGACTAACCATCTCCTTGAGAGACTGGTTTTCTGACCTGATGGACGTGTTTTCTGTCCGGATTGCATTGTTCTCGGCTTCCAATGCGGCTACCTTGTCCAAGTTCTGTTGCATAAGAGCGGTCAGAGCTTCCAGTTTGGCCTCGAGGCCGGGGTTAGTGTTGTCGGAGTTGTCAGCCATGGAAAGTTCCTCTACGTAGCAGGATTCGTCGAGCCGAATGATTGTTAAAGGCCCCACGGTGGGCGCCAAACTGTAAATGTAATAATCTACCTATACGGAAGGAGGGTTTGATCCCGTGAGGTTGAGGCCACTAGCGATTCACTGCACCTGCACACGTAGAAAAAAAAACGCGTGAAGCGAACGAGAAACAGCAAGGTGGTGTTTGCCGTAGGCACTCCGATGCTCAAGTCAGCAAGACTGAAAGAGGCTAGTGTAGTGAGGGTTAGGGAATAAAGAGATTACCGGAAGTCTAGTCGGAGACTGTGACTACGGCGGTGATGTAAAGCTTTCAATTAGGAGCTTCGGGTGTGAAGGTGTAATGTCGTCTGTCCTTTGTGAGAGGGTTGGCCTCTGTTTATATAGTGACTGTCTGGTCTCCCAATCCTGGTGGGAGTAGGAGTCCTAATATGACTCTGATGCAAACCCTAGAAGAATTAGGGCCATGGTAAACTGTCTTACCAATGTCCGGATAGGAAGATGATTCTGATAAGAAAGTAACTCCGAGTAGGAAAGTGTTCTGAACAGGAAAATGACTTCGAATAGGCGATTGATCAAGAACATTAATGTGATCAATGGGCCGTGGGCTCGGAACTCACCTATAGGCCCATGAAGTGAACTGGAACTGGGAGGCCCATGCTTGGATGGTTTGGGCAGGCCGTATCTCGTATCGAATGAGACTAATCTGGCTTGGGCCTCTTTGGGATTTAGGTCTGGTCTCTTCATAAATGGTACTGCTTTCCCATTTGGGCCGAGGACGATTTTGGCCCTAACAGAACTAATGTAAAATGTAATTTATTTTTTATTTTTGAAATTTTTTACTAGGGTTATTTTAGACTTTATATAAAAGACTATAAGAAATAATAAAAACTATCTCTGAGTGGTCGAGCGGTTCGATAGGGACTTCAAGAGGTTTTGAGTTCGATTTTTTCTCCAGTTGTTAATAAGGGTAGTCACTAAAGCTCTCACATAGTCGGTAGTTTTAGAGTTTTGAAATATTAGTTAAGGTGCGTAGCTGGCCCGAACGCCATCTGCCAAATAAAAAAAAAAAGAAGACTATTAGTAATGTTACAGAATTCAGTGGCGTCTGTTAGTTTAAGGGATTATTTTGCTTCTAAAAAATTAATGTGTTCCTGAATTTTATTACAGCTAAAGTCGGGGACCACAGATTTTTTTTTTTTTTTTTTCTCTGGAAACATGCCACTGACTTTGGCGGGCTTTTACTTGATTGGCTTTTTGTGTGGTGGACTTTCAATTCAGTGGACTTCTTTTTACACAAAAACAAATGAGTGGCAATTATTTGAACCTCATCTATCTTAATAAATTGGTATATTTAATATTATCTAAATACTTTATAATTAATTTTAAACTTAAAATGTTTTAGTAAAAATATATCTCTTGATGTAACATTCATTAATTTATAAAATCTATAATCCAATTTTATTTCATCTTGGATTAATTTATCATAATCTATTGGAATTCAATTTAATTCAAGTCAATCTTGAAAAACTTATAGAGTTTATTTCGTTTATTTTTGTGAAATTGCTTGATATAATACTTTTCAATAACAATAAATGCTTTTTAGATTAAACGATCTTACAAATATAAATAAAATAATCTCAGCTTTATAGGAATTGCATTAGAGTGAAACAAAAGCATATGAACTAACTCTTTATTATATGAGCTAAATGAATATGATTTAAATTCACATGTTTACCCTTTTTTTTTTTTTATTCATTTAATTTAGACAAATTGAATTATTGCACGTTTATTAAAACTTATATGCTAACTAAGAAAGGTTTTTTTTTTTTTTTTTTTTTAAAAGGTCAAATGCTTTATTCAATTCCTTTTTATATGTACTTTATTCACAACTCAAGAGCAACAATGATCTTATCCCTTTATTTAAAATAAAACCTCTTTTGTAATTTAATACTAAAAATAAAAATAAAAATAAAAATTCATTTACATATATAATTTCACATCTTATATCACACAATTAATCGTTATTTATGCCACATTACACTTCTCCATTCTTTATCCAAAGTATTAGTAAGTAACCACAATAAGACTATACTATATAATCACCTTGCTCTAATAATATACTCACAGAATTGTTTGAATAAATAATTACCATCTTAATTAATTCGATGAGCTCATGGATTCTTGCTCTTCCATAACTGTATCCAGTGCAGTCATTGGAGTCATTGGAACAATTGGGGTCATAGCCACACCTCGAGTCTCTCTATCCAGATTTCCATGCCATCCTACACAAATTTTGTCAATATTTAATAATGGATCATTTTCGAATACTCTTATTTCAATTTAACGACCGAGAAAGATCGATCAAATAATATTATCGAAAGATTTAAGGAAGAAGAGATGTACCAACGGTCATATCAAAGCCGCGATTTCTGAGCTCGCGATGCTCTTGGCACAAGGCACAATACATGCAGCAACAGTGAACCAAACAATCGCAGCAAGGCTTCTCCTTCAACATGTATTGCTTCCTCATTTTTGATCGGTAGAAGCAAGTGAAGCAGCATGGGCAACATGTTACGCAGCAGATTAATGTGCAAAGTGCCCCAGTTACACCACAAGCTGCAAATATTGGTTAAAAATTATTATTATTTATTCGTATCATATTCAAGTATTTGATTGATTGATCCATAATCGTTGATTATGAACAATGGTTTGCAGGGAGGAGAACTATTCATGGCAAAATTCTTTTAAATTTTTATATAGAAAAACGTAATTTTGTCCATAAAATTTCATATATTTTTTTTATACTTCGACTCTCCTTATTATAGTTAAATCTTACACTTCCACTCCAACTTCCAAAATTAAGTTTTTACAACGTAATCCCTTTCGTTTGTTAAATATTACACTAGGATCCCAAAATCAGTATTGGTTTGATAATGTAAATGTTAGTGTCCCAGTTTTTCTTTTTTAAATATTTTATGTTTATAAAGTTGGGAGAGTAATAATATTCTTTAAAATTTCTAAATTTCCGCGGAGTGGAAGGTTAGGTAAAGTTAAATATCATTAGACTCCGAATAGTTCTCATATTTCCAAAGCAATCCTTTATGGTTTCAAAGTATCACAAATTCTTGCCCGTAATGAATCCAAGAGGTTGAGCTGCTATTTAACGTAAAATTTCTGAAACTTTAATGAATAATTTTGATAGCATAAGATATCTTAAAAGAGATCATCTGATATTTATTTAATATTTTATTATATTGGTTTTTCAAATTCATCTAAAATCACTAATAAATTAAAGTTTGAAAATTAATTAATTATTGTAAAGAATTCTTAAAATCAGCATAAATCTTCTTATAAATTCATATATAAAAATTTATCAGAAAAAAATAGCTGAAAATATACCACACCTAAGAAGAGTTGAACGAAACTGATTATTTTTTTTTTTTAAAGAATTAAACAAAGGGTTAAATTGCAAAGACCCAAAACATAATAAAAAATAAAATAAGTTTACTTACAAGATGACCCTTTATCAACAATCTCTGCAATTTGTCCGAAGGTCATGCAAGGACACCAGCAAGTCAAGCAGCCTGTAAAATGACCAAAAGATAGAACAACTTTAAAAATTTACAATCCCATACGCAAAATGGCAAAAACAAACCAACAGAGAGTCACTTCTAACCATTTCACTTACAGTTTCGCCAGTCAGAGAAGCAGTCACAGAGCCCGGAGGACCAAGAAACCTTGTTCTTCGGCTGCTGGTTCAGCGAGTTCATCGGAATACCAGTCGTGGTCGCCTGAGTAAAGGGCGTCGCGGCTAAAGAATTCGACACGGTGGAGAACCTGTTGTAGTCATTCTTGCTTGCCGAAGACATGGCTATGAATTCTGCAACAAATTTTCGTATATCAGAGCAGATTTTGTTGCAGAAAGAGGAGGGATTTGAGAGCAATTTGGGAAGAAGATAATTAGAGTAAAATGCAGATAGGAAAGATTATTAGTTTTCAATAACTAAGCAAGTCAATGGCTGGCGAGACTTGACTAGTTTTGTGGGTGTGCTTGCTGAAATGTGAAAGCTACATTACTGTATAAAAGACACGGCATGTAGGGTCCTTCGTGGTTCCGATTGTTGGTTCCTTCTGGCTTCTTGGTAGGAATAAACGACTTCTTTCCACCAAAATAATGTCCTAATGATTTTTTACCCAAAATATTTCAAAATACAACTTTATAGTATATAACTGTTAACCACTCTACTTCTTTATTTAACTATGTGTTTAGTAATTAAGGAAACGTAATTAGACGTTATGATACTAATTGAGATACTTCGTTTTGAAGTGAGTGTTTGGTCGATGAGAAAATTTAGAATACAGTGGTAATATGTTAATTATATCACAATTTAATATTTAATGAGTTTTGCCATTCTTTTTTATTTTTTATTTTTTCTCTTTTAATTTCTTGTCACAATCAACATAACTGATAATTAGTAAATTAAAGACTTACGTTCTCGTCTATGTATTAACTTGTGACAATATAATATAAAATTAATATAGTACTGATGCGTGATGACGTAGCGTAGACATATTATTTGTCAGTTATAGTATTATAACTAAACTTCTATGGTGTATTGTGCTAACTTTTCTAAATTGACATTTTAAAAAGTAATTAAATAATATAAATTTAATTAGGTTCCCATATTGAACCAATAACAATTCACGAAAGACAATTAATTAACGACTACATATGAAAAAGTGAAAAGTTTCATTATTATATGTTTTTCCACGAAAAATTGATTAGAAAGCGAAGCTTCTCACGAAACTAAATAATTCCTGTGGAAATATCCTTCCAATGGTGCTTGACTTGTCAAATGTGTTACACAGGTCATGCCAAGAAGCATACGGAGTTAGCGAGAAATACTTGGCCCTGTGTGTTTAACTCTTTCAAATAGGCTAAATCATTTGAAAAATTAATCCAACTCAAGTAGGATTCAAATATGATTTTTTGTTTAAAAATGAAAAGTGAGTGATATTTGTTTTTTATTATTATATTCTATTTAACTCAAAACATTTTTTCAACTCTTTTCAATTAAAAATAATTATTTTTCACTCATTCCAATCTGAAAATTAATCCACCCAATACTATCACCGTTTGCCGTCGTTACCATCGACAGCCACCACCGACAGTCAATACTGAGCGACTTATGACTGATTGGATTTGGTCGATCGTATGCCGATCTAGCTGTTTTTTGTCAGATCCACCAACCAGAGATATGGTCGTTAACAACGATTATATTTTGGTCATAGATTTGGTTGAAAAATGTCAGATTGATGCACGACAGACTAGATCCAACTGCTCGTGTGTCATTTTGGCGACTGTCGGTTGCCGTCTAGCGGTGGTGGCCAACAATGACTTGATCATGTGGATGTGTTTTTGTTAATTTATAAACTTTTATTGTTGGGGTGAGAGTGTTGGAGGGAGGGGGGAAGGAGTGTGATTTAGCTAAATTAACAAATAAAATGGATTAAAAGATAATCTAAATATTTTCAGAAAATGTTTTTCAAATAACTATTCAACATTTTATCAAACTCTGATATAATTTTCAGATATTATACCAAAAACATTTTCAATATCCTATCTTATTTGATTTAATTCAACTCAATTCAACTTAAAATCGTTTTTCAGAATAACATTTTTCAAATAACCTACCAAACAAACCCTATACTCCTGACTTAATCACTCCCGAGGTTTCAATAAACTAGTTTTGGGCTACCGTTTCATTTACTAGGAAATTCTCTCATGGTCATAACGGATGTTATTAAAACTTTTAAGTAAACTAATGACAAAAATAACCCTAAACAACAATGTTAAAAAATCCACAAACATATTAAATAAATTGCATAATTAGATAATTAAAAATAATTTATTTAAACGTCCAAAATTTTACATAATTTTAATATGTTTATATAGATATTTAACAATACTATTTGAGGGCACGCCGCTTCTCTTTCTAAGACAAATGTGGATTTAGTTAAGACTTTGGTCAATTATAATTCTAACATCACCCATTTTTTTTAATATATAATACTTGAGTAAATGTATTATATTATTTAAACAACAATCAATCTCTTCTACAAACATCCTAATAATTAAAAACCGGAACTTAAACTTTCACTTACAAGAGTAAACTTTGAAAGAGACTCATGTTCATATTTGATTTTATTATTTATTAACTTTTGCATTATATTATATACACAAGGAAAAACAAATTCAATTTTCTTTTAATTTTTAAAATCTTTATATTGTTGGAAATTGTCACCGACACATGATTAATTTGAATAAATTATATAAGCATATGAATGTAAATTCGGATAAAATTAGTGCGTTATTCATACCAAAGATCGATTATAAATAGTTTTGTGTGGTATAATATATCATATGAATGGATCAAAACGCTTGTTAATTTATTCAAATTACTTCAAATATACAGAATAAATTTTCACCATACATAATTTTCTTCTAATTTTAGGTAAATAATTTAATTTCAAAATCTCTTATACAATTTCAATACATTCAACCCCATCATTTTTAATCCATCATTATTATTGCATAACATGCTTTACAAACTTTGAAATATATAATTTCTCAACAGACAGATATATCGATAGCATAATACAATACTCGTTTTATCGAAAACTTTATTTTTTAATCGGACGACAACTTCATATTTCTATCTTCTCATGCCATTTTCCACCATCGGAGCTGTCGCTCCCATGGCCACTCCCCTATTTCGCCTCTCCACATTACCATGCCATCCTATGAAAATTTCCAAGACCATCAGAAAATCATAACTCAATTCATAATTTTAATTTTTTTTTTTTTGGTTAAATACAAACTTCAAAATTGTAATAGATTTTTAAGTATACCTATAGACAAGTCAAATCCACGGCTTTGGAGCTCGCGATATTCTTGACAAAGGGCACACGACTGGCAGCAACAATGAACCAAGCAATCGCAACAAGGGCTCTCCTCTAATAAAAACTGCTGCCTGATCTTTGTGCGATAAAAGCAAGTGTAGCAGAAAGTCAAACCAGTGAGGCAACCAAGTAGAGTACAAAGTGTTCCCGCCGTACAACAAGCTGCAGCAACCAAAATTACCAATCTTAATTACCTTAATTAATATTGATATTCATAATTACCGTCCTTAATAAATTTAATTAGCACTATAATTGACTAGTACTTACAGGTATATCCTTGGTCTGCAATCTCAGCAATTCGTCCAAACGCGATGCATGGACACCAAAATGTCAAGCAACCTGCAGTTAAACAACAAAAAAATTACTTTGTTCGTAAATTTGACTATGATATTATGTTAAGAATTTGAAAGCTTTTAAACTTAAATTCTCGGTTTTCCGGAGAATTTAACTTACAACTAGGGCAGTCGGAGAAACATTCACAAAGTCCAGAGGACCAAGCGCCCACTCTGGGCTGCTGTTGAGAGCCTTGAGGTACCTGTACCAGTACCGGTACTCCGGTTGCCGCTGCATACTGATCAAATTTCTGATTGGGGTATGATGCGTTCATGGCGACGAATAATTGAAATACTCTTTGATTGATCAAAAGGAGATTTAATAAGAAGAAGAAATGAAGTGCAGGTCGCTAAGTGTCCCTGGTGGGGTTTTTATATAAATTCTGAAGAAGAGTAATACTAAAGAGTATAGACTGGTTCGAAGTTTCAAGTCTACGCTGCATCGACCAAGTCACTTTTATTAATAAATGACTGAAATTTCTGGTTTTCACGTGATAATTATGTCCTTGGAAGTTAGAATAGCCTAAACCTTTTTTGTTTTTGTTTTTTAATTGTTAGCTCTTTGTGTGTGTAACACATGAAATGGAAATAAATTTCGTGGAAAGTTAATTGAATAATTGAAGACAAGTCACATTAGTTGACAAGATATATTATATTTTCTTTAATTCATTACCTAAATATTACTTTTTCAAATTAATATTTGGCTGAAATTTTCAGCTTCCACAGGTTTGGGGTTCGATTTCTCTTGTGAACACTTATATGATCAAATGTTATTATTTCTTGCTTTTAAAAAATTTTTATGGTCAGGGAGGGCTCCAGTTTCGAACCTGAGTTGAAGGATTTCTGATTTATGTTAAGGAAAAAAAAAGCATGAATATTGATAAATTAAAGATTGAAAAAATAGATGTGAAAATTAAGATTCTAAGTGTTGGAATTCAAAATAAATCAGGATACGGTCATATAATTTGATGTTTTTATTGCCAAGAATACCAGTTCAAAGTGTAAATTTATTATTATATTAGGGAAAAGAAAACCAAAATTGAGAGTATTTAATTAAGAGTTAGAGCTGTCAGAATCGAGTATAATTATTTAAGAGTTAGTCTGGTAAATTAGCTTAATCTTTGATTCACTTTATATATGCGATTTTTGTAATAATTTATGAATCTACTGATCTTTTTGTCATCTATGACTTTTATATATAAAAATATAAAAAAATTTAAAAAATAAAAATCACATTAACAAAAAATAAAAATAAATATATATATAAATAAACAAAAATAATTTAAAAAATTTAAATTAAATAATAATAAAAAAAAAGTTAAAAAAAAAAAAAATTTAAAATAAAAAAAAAAAAAAATAATAAAATAAAAATAAAAAAAAAATAAAATAAAAAAAATAAAAAAAATTAAAAAATAAAAAAAAAAAAAAAAATAAATAAAAAATAAATAGGAAAGGTAAAGCTATCCTCATGAACTCAATTATTCTTGTGGAACTGTTGTTCCATTGGTGCTTGACTTGCCAAAATGTGTTACACGGTCATGAGGACTAACGTGTGGATAAAGTTAGATTTGGCTAAAAAAGAAGAAGAAGAAGAATTTATACTAATTTCTAGACATTATGGTTTGAAAATTCACTAATACGGATGTCTTAAAATTTTGTACGTGCAGATCAAAGGTGAACGTCTAATAGCTCACTTTTGATTGTAAGAATTGTAAAGTGAACGACTATATACTTACCTTTGATTTATCCGTTGAAAATTTCAGAACATTTGTATTGAAGAATAACTATATTATGGTGGATTACATTTTTTAGTTTTTACATGAATATTCTTCTTAAATTTATACGTTAATCTTGATTAATATAAATGAATGTATGGGAATATTAATCTCACATCATAAATAATAATATAATAAGATTGTTGTGCTTAAAAAGTCACGCTGATGTCAACTCAACAAGTGTCTAAAAGACAGAGTGTATTAGTTACCAAGCCCATACCGCCTCAAAGATATTTATACCAACCCTATCTCATTTTAAGAGATGGACAGATGAAAGCTCTCTATGTGTCAAGGTAACTTGCAAAACACTCATTACATTGACCTCGAAGGTGTATAAATGGGCACCTCTCTTCATGAAAAAGGAAGGTTGGGTAGATGAGAGCTACGCATAGATTTGAGCTTTATTATCTTTCTCTGTAAACAAAGTTTTTCTCTATCTTTGTATGCCTTACGAGTAATATCATAAAAATAGCCAGAGAATAACAAAATAACAGTGGATGTAGGATTCGCTTTAAGCATCCGAACCACTTTAAAAACCTCTCTTGCCAATCTTTTATTTATGTTTTCTGTAAACATATATAATCTCAGCACCATATTCAAATCTAATGAATCCATCACGTGTGATTTCCAAGACTTTCTTAGCACTTTGCACGTGTGAGTCGTTGGTGTCAAAATCAAGAATCAACAGTTTGGTGGCCCATGCAGGTCTCGAACCTGCGTCTAAGTTCCCCGATCGCGTGGCCCGATCGCAGATCGCACGCATCAGAGCCCTCAGATCGCGTGGCCAGATCGCATATCACATGCATCAAAGCTCTCAGATCGTGTTATAAGATCGCAGATCACACGTATCAAAGCCCTCAGATCGCGTGGCCAGATTGCAGATTGCACGCATCAGAGCTCTCAGATCGTGTGATCAGATCGCAGATCGCATACATCAGAGTTCTCAGATCGCGTGGCCAGATCGCAGATCGCACGCAATAGAGTTCTCTGATCGCGTGGCCAGATTGCAGATCACACGTATCAGAGTTCTCAAATTGTGTGGCCAGATCGCAGATCACACGCATCAAAGTTCTCAGATCACGTGGTCAGATCGCAGATCGCATGTATCAGAGCTCTTTAATTGCGTGGTCAGATAGCAGATCGCACACTCAGATTGCCCAGATTGTTTGGCTAGGTCGCAAATCGCGAGTTCAAGATCGTTGAGATCACGCGTTCAAATAATTTAGATCGCGCTTCCAAGCGGCCAAATCGCGCTTTCGAGCGCTTAGATCGTTGATTTCGAGTTGTCACACAAGCTCCACACTTTCTGATCAAACTTCTTCTATTCTTATATCAAGCTCCGCGTTTTCATATCGAACTTCTTGTTCTCAGATCAAGCTTCACGCTTTCTGATCGAACTCTTTCCGTTTTCTGATTGAACTCCTTAAGCTCTTAGATCGCAAAGAGCTCTCAAGCTTTCTGATCGTAAAGAGCTCTCGAGTTCTCAGATCGAGCTCCTTATACTCTTAGATCGAGCTCTTTATGCTCTTTGATCGAGCTCTTTATGCTCTCTGATTGAGCTCATAAGCTTGCTGGTTCACTTGAGATTGTGTGCATCATATCGTTCAGATCGCATGCCTCAGACTCTCAGGTCGAGCTCCTATCAGATCGCGATCAACTCCTAGCTCTCAGATCGCGATCAGCTCCTAGCTCTCAGATCGCGATAAGCTCTCAGCTTTGATATTACGAACAGCCTCAGGTCGTGTTCTCAACTCTCAGATCGAGATCAATTCTCAGTTCTGAGATCCCGACCAGTTACCAGCGTAAGAAAAAACGCGTAGAAAACTCAAAACAGCCCTGAAACATGCTGAAACGATGGATTTTGGCCCCAAAAATGGCCCCAACTGGGTTCTCCTATTGTGACGACGTAGAGCTCAGAACAAGCTTTTCGTGGATAGCTTACGGGCTCCAAAACTCCTCCCGGATCAAAAGTTATGGCTGTTTTAAGTTGGCTTATCTGTTTAAGGCCTCTAAGCCGTGCGTTTGGGCTTCTGATGTTAGCACCCTCCAAGAATTCATCTACTGGACATTTCATGTCAGTTATCAAATCGTGCTCAGCTTCGGATTACTCCAAGCTCTCAGATCGCAGTCCTAACTCTCTGCACCTGATCGCGCCAGGCATAGTTCGAGCCCTTTAGTTCGAGACTGCAGCCTATAGTGCAACAACCATTCAGATCAAAGACCCGAATTTTTGAAGCACGATTACGCACTCCAAAAATAGAGGGGTTTTTTTGTGCCTAAAAAGTCATGCTGATGTCAACTCAACAAGTGCCTAAAAGACAGAGTGTACTAGTTACCAAGCCCATACCGCCTCAAAGATATTTATACCAACCCTATCTCATTTTAAGAGATGGATGGATGAAAGCTATCCATGTGTCAAGGCAACTTGCAAAACACTAATTACATTGACCTCGAAGGTGTATAAATGGGCACCTGTCTTCATGAAAAAGGAAGGCTGGGCAGATGAGAACTAGGCATAGATTTGAGCTTTATTATCTTTCTCTGTAAACAAAGTTTTTCTCCATCTTTGTATGCCTTACGGGTAATATCATAGAAATAGCCAGAGAATAGCAAAATAACAGTGGATGTAGGATTCGCTTTAAGCATCCGAACCACTTTAAAAACTTCTCTTGCCAATCTTTTATTTATGTTTTCTGCAAACATATATAATCTCAACACCATATTCAAATCTTATGAATTCATCACGTGTGATTTCTAAGGCTCTCTTAACACTTTGCACGTGCGAGTCGTTGGTGTCAAAATCAAGCATTAACAGTTTTTCTGTTATGCATGAAAAGTTAGGGCTGATGTGGACTCTTGTCAGCAAGAGCCAATTAGGATTCAAGAAGGTTTTGTGCCGTCTAGATGCTGCCACATTGCGTAGTAACGAAAGAGGTATGGTTCTTGTCAGTGCAGTAGGTGAATGCTAGGCTTGCGGGTGGTTAGGGATTATCCACTTGCCTAAGCCTTACGCAATTTGAGGATATTTCTTGTGCAAATAACCAATGGGATGCAAAGAAGGATTAGCACGACACCTACCCACTTGCAAACTCGTAATCATTACCTTGAACTCTCCCACTATAAATAGAGGACACCCCTCTCATTTACGGGATTGGCTGACCTTAGTCTAAAATAACTTATACTCTCTCTCTCTCTCTCTCTCCCTCCCTTTCTCTCTCTCTATATTCCTTCTAGATTGTAACTCAGCTCGCCATACGTAATATGATTTTACCCATCTTTTAATACAATAGTAGTGGACGTAGGATTTGCTTTTGAGCATCCGAACCACTTTAAATATCGCTTTCCATTCATTGTCTCATTTCATGTTTCCTTATCACGTGTGATTTCTAAGTCCGCTTAGCACTTTGTACGTGTGAGTCGTTGGTGTCAAAATCCAGCATCAACAGTTTGGCGCTAGAAGGAGGGCCTGATTTAGTATCCGCTCTTCATTAGAAATCTCTGACTAATCGGTCTTACCAATCAGCGAATGGCTTGCGGTTTCAAACCTGAGCTATCCGACTATGACAATGAGGAAATCCCCTAGGTACAAGAGGACACTTCTCCCAAAGTGCTTCT